AGGACTTAAACAGATGGAGGGTTCAGCCACCTAAGCCTAACTCTGGTTTGGGCTGAGGTACGGTAAATTATCATTATAACACCTCATGGCAGGAAATGGCACTTTCAGATTTCAAATCAATTTCAATATTATTTTTATTTTTTTCCATTTTTTTTTTTTTATAAACCTTTAAAATTTAGGGGGTCCGAATCATCTCCCCCTCCTGAAACTGCCACTGAAAAGGTCATTTGTGTTGGTGACATGAATGAATTGATGAGTGAAGGAAGTTTAACTACAGTTGTCCATCTAATTAAGACCCTCCAATTAAAGACCACCTCCAATTGAAGACCACTTTTCTGAGGCTCCAGAGGAACACTTACTGTATCTAAAACTGCTAAAGCCCATGAAGACCGTAGAATTTAATTGGAGGGAGACATTTTTTTCAATCAGATATGATTTTTTTTTCATTTTAAAATTCATTTTGGAATAAAAGTAGGCCTACTGGTTTGAAAACTTTTCCATCAGTATATATTTCAGGGTAATTCATAAACATACATTGTATTGTATACTCTTTGTGATTGAAAATGAAAATGGTTTTATTTTTCATGGAATCGGAAAAAGGAAAAAAAATATGGACCTTTAAATTCCAAACTAAACGTTGCATCTGGAGACAACTTTCAAAATGTTATTTATATTATCACACTCTATTTCTATTCTTAACATACACAATGCTATAGGATGGTTACAACATCAGTGATGGAGAAAGGGCTAGTGAATATTGCACTTCCCTGGAAAATGCAAACAGCAAAAAATAAAAATAAAAATGCTTATACGGACATGTGCAATGCCTGAGGTGCTTAGAATCATACACTTTTATCAGCCCCAGTAGCTTATTCAGGTGGGGGGGGGGGTAAAGCCGTCCAGGCCACCTAAATGTGTCTACATTATACAAAAATGTGAGAAAAAAACTATTATATTCAAATTTAAGTCTCTGGGTTTCATTTCCGGCCATCTAGAGGTGTCATAATCAAATTTTCTTGGATTGGATTGGATTGGATTTATTCGGTGTAAACAAAAAGGATAGCCCACGAAAGTCTAGAAGAAGACTTATTTCCAATGGGGGCCTTCTGGTGGTGATTGGGCAGTACAATGGGAGACAATCCCCTACTCTTTTCCCAAGAGTGTACTGCCTTCTTTAACGTGCACATGGGCTATAATTTAACTGCTTAAACGTCTCATCTGAAAGACGGTGCGCTATTGTAACTTGTATTTCAGCCCTCCAGCTGAAACACAAGGAGAGGCAGCGATGGGAATTGAACCGGAAACCTAGAGATATCCACGGTTCAGCGCGCACACAGTGGCTACCACCAGATTAGCCGACTGAGCTAAGCTGCTCCCAACCGTGGTGTGGGCTAATGTGGTCTAGACCCTTCATCTAAAAAGATAGGTCTACATTTTGGTTTCTTGTGCTGCCGTTTTTAATTTTCAATAATAAAATTTACAAAAAATAAACATGTTTACACTTTGTTGTTTGTGATTCCTGTTTGTTCTCTACCTGTTGTTTTGACACTGCGCCTTGAGCACCAATTTTGGTGGTGATGTTTGCGCTTTAAAAATTATTATTATTATTATTATTATTATAATTTTTTGGTAAAAATGTTCTATATATTATGTTTTTTTTTATTAATATTGTTAATACTTGTCTTTTCTATATTGTCCGATAAACCATATACTATATTTTTGTAATAATATATTTTTGTAATAATAAATTATTGTAAATAAAGTAAATTAATTGAATGATTGTAAAAAATTGAAATTATTATAATTTGACTTTTCTGGTGAATAATTTTTATATTGAATGATAAATATTGTAAATATGTTTTTTTAGAATTTGTATTGTATATTGTTGGATGGATTTCTCTGCTATTATGACGTTTTACTGTATTGTTTAAAATAGGACTGATTGCGTGCGCACTGGTGTCGGCTTGCTGGCGTAGAGCGCTTTATAAATATTACTTATTATTATTATTATTATTATTATTATTATTATTATTATTATTATTATTATTATTATTATTATTATCTGTGAAAGTCCCTCCCGGGGCCCTCTCCATTCCAAATTCTTGAGTCCGCCACTGAGCCCTGATGGCAGCCATTATTAATATCAGGTATCTGGATGATGTTATTGCAAGAGACATACCGGTATACCCGGTATTTGTTTGAAGAGGTTAACCATGAAATGCAATACCGTGCGGTAGTGGAGTAAATAACTATTATTGTAATGTTTCATTACAGCATAAATTCTGAAGCAGTTCGCAAGGAAGCTACTAAAATGAGACAGCTATGTGCCTATCCATCAATAATTTGCGTGCACTGTGTGACCAGTCGTTCAGACCAAAATAGAGTCGGCATAGTCATGGAATGGATGAAACTGGGTAACTTAAAGGATTTTCAACAAAAAAAAATTAAAGAGTTTCCATGGGCGCTTCGAATAAGAATGCTAAAAGAGATATCGGAGGGAATGTACTATCTCCATGATGAAGACATTATTCATCGTGATTTAAAAGCTGAAAATATCTTCTGTCTCTTATACACATCTAGATGTGTATAAGAGACAGTTATAACACCTCATGGCAGGAAATGGCACTTTCAGATTTCAAATCAATTTCAATATTATTTTTATTTTTTTCCATTTTTTTTTTTTTATAAATCTTTAAAATTTAGGGGGTCCGAATCATCTCCCCCTCCTGAAAAGGTCATTTGTGTTGGTGACATGAATGAATTGATGAGTGAAGGAAGTTTAACTACAGTTGTCCATCTAATTAAGACCCTCCAATTAAAGACCACCTCCAATTGAAGACCACTTTTCTGAGGCTCCAGAGGAACACTTACTGTATCTAAAACTGCTAAAGCCCATGAAGACCGTAGAATTTAATTGGAGGGAGACATTTTTTTCAATCAGATATGATTTTTTTTTCATTTTAAAATTCATTTTGGAATAAAAGTAGGCCTACTGGTTTGAAAACTTTTCCATCAGTATATATTTCAGGGTAATTCATAAACATACATTGTATTGTATACTCTTTGTGATTGAAAATGAAAATGGTTTTATTTTTCATGGAATCGGAAAAAGGAAAAAAAATATGGACCTTTAAATTCCAAACTAAACGTTGCATCTGGAGACAACTTTCAAAATGTTATTTATATAAACTATCTCTGAAAAGTTGAATTGTAAACGTGAGTTGAGTTATAAACAAAATATCACCTGTATCATGTTTTCATGCATTTTAGTAGATGGAGTTTACCTGAGTTATTTACAATCATAATCATTGTTTAATGTGTGAGATATATCTTGAATAATTGTCTTAACTTGGCAATCACGTTTATACATCTCGTTAACATTTACATTCCTATTATTTTACTTACAATTTTCATTATTCTATCAAGTTTTTTCTTATTATTTACACTAAAACTATATTTTACCAGATTACCCAATTGAAAGATGAAACACTTAAGAAAACACTCTGATAAAAATGGAAAAGGAAAAATTTACATTTTTACGGTTACCTTACTAGATTGGGGACTTCGGACTTTCAAAGAGTATGCAGACAGTGTATAATTGTACGTTAGGAGGTACTCCAAGTCACATGCCTCCCGAGTACTTTAGCAAAAAAGGAAGTCCAAATAAATCATGGGATGTTTACAGGTAAGTGAGTATTACACCGATTATCCCTGTATAATATTATGTCATTGTTGCTTTATTCGAGCACTGTTTCTAACATTATTAAATATTTTGATTTTATATATATATATATATATATACTGTCTCTTATACACATATATATGTGTATATAATGTATATGTGTATATGTATATATCATTAAGACCTACAGTATCAATATCATTTTATTGTTAGTTTTGGGATTCTTTTATATGAAGTCGCAAGTGGAAAGACCGTTTTTGAAGGTAAAGGAAACACAGTAACCAATAAAATATAATGTTTCATTTCAATTTCATTGTAGAAAACATATAAAACATACATACATATATGTCTATTATATATAATAAATGTGTGTGTGTTATGTATATGTTTTTAAAAATTATTTTTATGTGCTTTTTTATTCTAAGTCATGTAGTGTATGGATGTGTGTTTAAAATGAACACTTGAGGCACTGAAGAAAACAAAAACGATATTCAACAGAGAAGATAAAAAAATAATAAAACAGCATGTTTCACTAATCAGTCGTGAAAAATTAATGCATTAAAATTACAGAAAATGCAATCTTAGCCTTATACTTATACATAGGAAGGAGTTTTAGAAACAGAAGTTTCACATCTGCGAATTTGTTAAACTAGAATGCTATGGTATCTTGTTATCATCACTTGTATGAATAATAGTATTGTTATTGCTGTACTAATTTTAATGTTTTACCCCCTCACAAAAAAAAAACAAAAAAAAACAACTTGTCTTTCAGAGATAGGCAGTGATGTTCAAAGATTGATGTTTTGTGTTGTTATGAACGAAGACCGTCCAGAAATCTGTGATAGCTATCCGGCCTTTATCAAAGAACTGATGATGAAATGCTGGGGTACTAATTCTGACAACAGACCAAATTTTAAAGGCAAGCTAATTAAATAATAGATATGTTAAACTAACTTTAAAAATAAATAATCTCTGTGGTAGCATATCTCTACAATATACTGATTATTTTTTCTTCTTGATTCAAAAAGCCCTTCACAAGGTTATGCTTTATGTTTCTTTGCCTCTCTTCGAAAATTAATATTTATCTATTTCTTTAAAACTCTACATAAATGAAAAGAGAAATAAATGTTGCATTGAGTTGAGTTTAGACAGCAAAAGTTCATCTTGAGAACACCAAAACAGTATTTAAGCTGAATACCATATAGGCCCTAAGCTAGCTGATCTTACTATAGAAATGCTTGTTGAAACACACATGTACATCTGCATCTTCATTGTAATGATTACTATCATGCTATCATCTTTATAGTAGAAGTGAACATCTACGATACATTGCATTTTAAATAAAGAAGGAATAGAACACATACAATCTTAAAGCAGAATGACGTATTGTATTTTAAAGAATCAATTAAAATTAATATGTAATAACGAAATTGCTTTGTATACTTAGGCCTATCATATAATTAATTTCAAAATTTAAAATTCATTTTTTTTTTAAATACAAGGTAGATAATAAAGTTATATAATGATCAAATCAATGTTGTTTCGGGGGTTTAAAACAAATCTTTAGTATTTTTTAATACATGTATATTTTAATTAGGAAGCTTAAGTTGTAGTAACAAAAAAGCAACAGTTAATATATATTACTCCATCAAATTCCTTCCTGAAATTCAGAATTGAAATTGAAATACACCCTTCAGTGTATTTTGATTAGAATATATTATATTTATAATTTAAATACTGTACTTAATATGAATTATTTTCCTTATTTGTATTTTAAAAGAAGGACAATAAAGTTAACACATCTGGTTCAACAGTAGCTTTGATTAGACATATTTATTACTATTACTATAATATATATATAATGTATATATAATATATATTATATATATTATATATTATATATATATTATATATATTATATATATTATATATAATATATATAGGGCCTATTATTTTTTATTTATTTATTTATTCATTTGTTATAAAATACATAGAATACTCAAAATGCAACAGAAGTTGAAATGCTTTTAAGTTTACAAAATGAACAAATATAAAAATAAAACATCCAACACCACATTAAAAAACACCAAACTTAAGGCCTATCTTTTCAGTAATCATACTAATATTAGATTCTAAAATTGGTATTTGTATACATGAATTTATTAAAAAATTGGATTATTAAATAATGAAATATAAATATATATTAATTATTATATTAACTTTCTGCTTATTTTTTTAGAAATAAAACTGGCAATAAGAAGAGCTTATGAAGATAAATACGAAATATCAATATTGGAAGCAATAATTAAAGTTCTAACTCAACTAAAGGTAATAATAAATTTTGATTTGGAACATAGGCATATTCGACTGGTTCATTTCATTAGATTTTTCGTTGAGTATAATTTTCATTCGACTGGTTTGTAAAATAGACTTCGTTGACAACGAAAATTACCGTAATGTAAACCAGAGTGCGTTAAGTTAACCACGTAACTAAAACAAACATGGCAGATTAGTGAATTTAGATCAAATTTTGCAAGCGCAGCTCTGCATTCCCGGCCTGTTGCCATCCCATCTGGCCTGGCGGTTTGCCACCCAGTTTTCTGCCATCTGGTCATTTACCAACTAGGCCCGTTATCACACGGCCTTTTGTCACCTGGCCTTTTTCACCCAGCCATTCACCATCAGGCTATTTGCCAGCCGGCCTTTTACCACCCTAGGCCCAGATTGACATCCGGCTTTTTACCACCTAGGTGTAATATCAAATCCTCTTCACATTGTTCATTTTTGTTTGACTTGATGTCAAACTTGTGAGTTAAGATTTCCTTCTCAATTCCATAATCCTGGCAAAAGATTTTACGAATTCTCTGAAACCATGCATCTTCCCTTCTTATCCTAATAAAATTATAAATTCAATAAGGTAAAAAAAGAATAAAAAATTTAGCACCATCCATAAAAAAAAAAATGCTGAAACAGTCGTTAGAGGTTATTGTTGTTAGGCACCTTGTGGTTATCCTTCCCATAAAACGCTACATAAATTTAATATGTTTATTTTATTTATTTACCTACATATTATTGGTATTAGACCTAATTGGTGACAGTAGAAAAGAAACTACCATAGTCAAATACAATAGAACCATTATTAAGGAACACTTTCGGTACCAAAAAAGGTGTCCTCTTAATATAGGTATCCCCTGAGTAGGGGTTGGCCGTAATGTTAAAAAATATACTTTCCCTTTAGGTTTTGTGGCTGAAAAAATGTCACCTTAATAGGGGTGTCCCTTCAGAGGGGTGTCCCACAACTGAGGGATTTACTGTAAATGTAGATAAGGCACATCATTTTTTTTCCAAAATGCGTGCTTCACCCATAAATTACTTTTGTTCAAAATTAATACTAATGTCAATATTTTTATTGGTAGGATCAACAATGTATGACTGAACTAGATGCCAGAATGAGCAATTTGCAAACAAGAGGAAGACAAATAGAAAACCAAGAAGGCAGCTCCGAGCTTGTTATCGCCAATGAAGCAAACAAAAAAACAGCTACAATGAATCAGATGTCTGATGAACAAAATGACAAGTTCATTCAAACCGCATCTTGTGTTAATACAGGTACTGTATTTATATTTCTACTACATAACATGTGGAACATTATTTTATTACAACTGGTAATTATTAATGATGCAGCATTTACAGCACATGGTTATGGTGAGGATGAATGAGTACCGGTATTATAGGACAAAACCACCAGTAAAAAATCCATCAGAAAATGGATTATAATATTGTGACATCGAGGTCGAATAGAAGAAATATACGTCAACTTATTATACGTTATACGTCAACTTGGTATTTCATTTGTTTACTTATGCTGTTCAACTATATACATACACACACACACACCCACACCCACACATACATGTAGATGATAATGGTGCAGTGAAGAAAAGGGTATTGTAGAATGATACACGGTTGATGAGGTTGATGGTTGCATGAGTTGAAGATGGTACAATCGTAGCGTACAAGAAGAGTATGACAACAATACAAATTACAATAAAATGATGTTGATGGTAAAGATATAGCTATTTTGCATGAGCAGTGGGTTGATATTGGGGAGGAATAAACTAATAATGCCTTCTATCTCAAATCTTCTGTTCTATTTAGCGGTTCTACAGTCAACAGGGCGACCGATCCCTGCTAATTCATCTACTGAGTCACATCGTGAGATTAGTGAGTAACAATAGTTGAAATTAGTATTTCAGGGGGGTGCAACATGTCCTACAGCGGGAACCAATCCAAGGGGCTGACTTGTTCAGGATCCCAGAATAAAAATTCCTGATAGGGTTCATAGAGAGAGTACCAGTGGCTGATTCAAAGGGGCCGAGCCAGTCGGCCTGGGCCTCCTTATTTATTTCAAACTCATAAAAAAAATGGAGAAAAAAGGAAAATTATTATAAAATTTAGATCTGAGAGTGCCATTTCCGGCCATTTAGAGGTGTCATAATCATAAAATGGTGGGGCTGAAATGGTATAGACTCCCATCTTTGAAAGTCTCTCCCTGAGCCCCCTCTAATATGAATTCATGGATCCGCCACTGAGTATTAATGGCTTTGTATGGTCCAAAATTGTACAAATGATTGTATTATTTTCTGGTAAAATAATGTTAGTAATGAAGCAAAGGATATTGTAGATGATAATGATGCAAAGATGAAAAGGGTATTGTAGAATGCACGGTTGATGAGGTTGATGATGCTTATAATGGGGAAATATTGTTGCATTTGAAGATGAGTATGATGATAAAATCGAAGAGTACAAGAAGAGTATGACAATAATACAAATTACAATAAGATAATGTTGATGGTGACGATATAACTATTTCGCATGAGCAGTGAGTTGATACTGGGGAGGATTCAAATAATAATGCCGTCTGTCTCACATCTTTGTTTCTATTTAGCGGTTTCACAGTCAACAGGGCGACCAGTACCTGCTAATTCATCTACTGAGTCACATCGTGAGATTAGTGAACTACCATAGGGGGAAACGATAACAATGGAAAGGGTTAGAAATAATACCTTAAGGCAAAAATACTGCCACTAAGGGGAAATTTTAACGATGTTAAGGAGAAATATAGACAAAGGATTTTTCACCCTATGAGTTACTTAGGAGTAGTATGTATGTATGTATGTGTGTATGTATGGGTGTATGTATGTATGTATGTATGTATGGGTGTATGTATGTGGGTATGGGTGTGTGTGTGAGTCTTGAAATGAGGAGCTGATGGGGTGGAGGCAATGGTGGCTCCAGAAATTTGACAACAGGGTGTCCGATATCGAGAACCAAACCAAGGCGCTGACTATAGCCTTGGTCAGGGTACCAGAATAAAAAATTCCAGGTAGGGTTCATGGGGAGAGCGTAGGCCTAAATGGTTTTGTATGGTTCAAAATTGTGCATTTAGACCACAATGTTAGGGATTGGCCAAAAAAATAAGGTTATTTTGATAGGTAAATTAATATTTTTGGTCCGATGACCTCGTCGTTGTTTTGGATGACGAGGGGTTCCAACCTGTCACGGGGAGGGGGGTTGGTGGCAATCTCCTTCCCTAATGGCATCGCCACTGGGATGCAAATGTAAAGTGAAGGAGCTCGATTATTAAGTGAGGGGCCCATGGTTGCAAAATACAGTGATATAAGGTGAATTTTTGAGTCTGATTTTTTGTTTTGTTTCGGACATTTTATTTTTTTTATGGGGGCGTGCTCTTTATTCGCACCCACTAGATACGCCATTTATTTCAGCAATATACATTACCACATAATTATTAAGACTACTGCAGGGTAATGGTAAGCAGAGATAACCCTTCATGAAATAATGTACTGTAGAGGATAATGCCATCTACCTTATGTCGTGTCTGTTTTTTCCTAGTTACAGAACCTGCTCCAATATCACCAAGGCGACCAGTCTCTGCTAATTATTGTACTGAATCACGTCCTGAGATAAAAAGTGAGTAACAATATTAGAAATATATATTTACTCATTTATTTATTTATTTCAACAATGTTCACTACCACATTATAGGCCTAATGTAGTAAATGTTAAATGAATTTTGTAGATTACATTAATGTAAAATATTTTAAGACAAGTGTAAAATGCCCATATATAGTCATGATGTGCCTAAATTGGAAGGAAATGCATTTTTTTTTTCATTTTAGATGGTGAAAAAATACTTACTGATGGTGATAAACAATGTGTCCTGGACTATCTAACAGAAGACAATTTTCAAAAATTAGCAAAAAAATTTGGCTTAAAACCTGGACAAATTAGTAGTATCAAAATCGACAATTCTTCTTATAATGATCAAGTGTATGCACTTATTGAGAAATGGGAGAGAAAAAATGGAAGACGAACAAGAAGGCAGTTATGTGAATGTTTGCGGGATGTGGATTGCACTATAATTGATGAATTAAATAAACTTTAGGCCCATTTTTATAATTGGTTATTATAGTTATTGTATGTTCATTGATGTGGAAAACCACAGAGAGCTTACATTAACTACTTAACTACTATGTACTTATAAAACCATTACAAGAAAATATATGAAATATAAAATAAAATAAAAGTACTATAACAACACTGAGTGTTCACATGTCTTATCCAGTTCAAATACATTTTTGACTTGTACATGCAAGATTTCACAGCAGCATTTACAAGAATATTGTTAACATTTATCCTTCTAATCATAAAACCATGGCAAGTTTTTTCTATAATATTTATCTAATCATGGAACATTTCTTGTTAGGTGAGACTTTTTTATACTCTGTTTAGCAAACCTGCCGCCCTCCAATAATGATTTCGAATAAAAATGAAATTTTATGTTTGGCAAACAAACACAAGCGCCACCACAAAAAAAAAATTAAAATTTCAAAAAAACAAAAATTTTTTTGGCCTCCGATTAAAAAAAACAAGGTATAATAAAAGTTTCGCCTTATAAACACCTGTTAATGGTAATAGTTTAAAAGGTCAGTAGCTTTTTTTTATACTAATTTAAATATTATTTTCATTGTTTTTAAATCACTTTAAGGTAAGTAAGGTAAATCTAAACTGTAAAAGGTATCTTACACAATGTACTTATGTACTGTTGTATTAACAAAACAACGTGTATTGTGTATTGTCCAGTGATTTGTGTTCTTAATTTAATGAATTCTTTAAGTTTTTTTTGTGTGTGTTATATTGTGAATACACCAATTGAGTTTCACCGATTTAATTAAACAGTATGTACAGTTCGGTCAGACTATACAACCAAATTAACAGCGTAGTAATAATAAGTGATAGCTATAATTGGGTGGGGTACTGTATGCACGTAATGTGTATTATGTACATTATTTGTGTGGGGAGGGTGAGGGATGTTTATGATTTATTTCAGATCTAAGTTGTATTTTCTTTTGTTAAGTTCTTTCATTTGTTTAGCTTTAAGTTGTTGTTTTACTCTTTGTTCATTAGTTTAAGTTTGACTGCGCCACTTTCTTGTGTGCTGCCACTGATGTAAAAGTGTAATGTCAATAAATATTATTATTAATGTTTGTTATTGTTATTGATACTATAATAATTATATTTGATTCAATAATTATTATTGTTGTTCACTACCAGGTATTAATATTGAAATTTATCTAAAAATATATGCTTTGACTGAAACATACATTCATGTGAATGTTCGTCTCCAGAGGCCAAGTTACAATGCTGAATTGTAAAACAAACATATTTTTGAATCATAGGTACTTAAAAGTAGCTGTCGTACTTTTATCAGGAACAGAATCAATTTCAATTAATGTGGAAAACAACCTGTATAGTGATGCAAGCGTTCCATCTCCTTCATTTTAACGATTCCTTTGTAATTAGATATGTTCCTGGGCTTTGTTATCTTTTTAATCGGAAATAGCAAACATGATATCTTCATATGATATGTTAACATGGTCTAGACAATTTTGGATCTTCCAAAATATTATCATTTGTTACAACAGAATTAATTATTTCATTAAAATTACCAATATTGCTAAAGTGTGTTTGAAGTGCCTCTTATGAGATTTGGCTCGGAGGGCGTCACATTAAGGCCAACTCAGACAGCGTCGGCCGACGCAGCCCGACGCGATTTGTTGTCGCGTCGGGTCTGTGTGAGTTGAACGCAGACGCGATGGTGTGCGTCGGGGGCAGTCGCGTAGTAGAATATTAAACGTGTTTGATATTTCTCACGACTGCTTAAAAGAGAACTAGCAAAATGATTTTTTGTTCTAGAGGAGATTTTTGATATGCCATTTATAATAGAATCAACATTAAAATCGTTTTTTGGCAATTGTTTATGAAGTTATAGTCCACTATATACGATTTTACCGTGACGTCACTGGCGAAAAAGTAATTAAAAAAATCGTGTAAATAGCGCTGCGTAGGGTATTTGCTGCGTAAGATCTTTACGTGCATGCTGTAACCATGGTTGTTGTAACTTGCATATAGGCCTATAACTGCATCAGCGGTTGTCAACAGAAGAGTTACAGCTATGGTTACAGCATGCACG